CTCACGCAGGAAGATCCAGTAGAGCCTCTTGCGTTTTGTGCACCGAATCCTGAAGAAATGGTAATTTGTGTGTTTGCAAACTTTTTTTGTAAATAGTATTTGACACTTTCTCCAGTTGTTTTATTTGCTTCACTTTTTGAATAGGTTATATTAAAAGGAATTGACAAAGGGGACATCATAAGTAGTGGCGCACCTCCGGTATCAAAAGATGGAGCTGTTGGGCGGAACTCGGTTGATTTTACTCCATCAAGGCGAACCAAGCATGGTAGCCACTTTTGTGAAAGATACATTACTTTATATTTATGCATTTATTTAGGTAGGAAGTTAATATGTATTGTAATTGGCTTGTCTGAGCAGACAGTAAAGAAGATTTACCACTTGCTGTTGAAGATTATAAAGATGAAAGTTCTGACAATTCTAAGGGTGGTTGTGCAAATTACTCAGATGGTTCATCACAAGACAAGCAGACGCACAATTATGGGTCCAACTCAAAGATGGAAACCGTCCAAGATCGGAAGGCTTACCCTGACAATAAGTTTAGAGCTGAAGGTACATTGACATAGAAAGCAGATTTTGTATACTATCATCTTATTTGATGCAGGGCAGTCCTGATCATATATCATTTCACCAAGAGATCTGAATTTACTGTTATCAGATTATTTCAGTTGTGTAGCCTGTCTTTAGTGTTTTTTTTTTTTTTTTTTTTTTTTTTTAAAGTAATAGAGAAAAAGATTATATTTTCTATTTGGGTTGTTTGGGCATTAGTTGATGGTGTGTCCTGCCACTTCTGTGTATAGTTTATGATGATATGACAAAAGTGCCTTGCATTTAAAGTTGTGCTTTGCAACGTGGTTTTAATTTGATGCTTTTCTGTGCAGCTTTTAGAGAAGACAGTGGTCCTTTTAGAAAGGCTGATGCCATCCATAGGGAATCGAGCGTGCAGGAGAATAATTCTGTCCATTCTGGTGCTGTATGGAGAGCCTCATCACTGGGCGATCGGTCGCATATGGCTTCACATGTTCGAAAGGACATTCCAAGTGATGTTAAGTCAATAACCTCTGACATGGCCTGGTCACAGCCACAGAAGGATACCACTAACCATTGGGATGGTGATTTGGCTAAATGGCAGACCAGTGAAGATTCTGTTCTTAAAAGGCAGGCATCAATAGTTATGGACAGGGAGCAGGAAGCCATGAAACTCTCACAGCCCTCTCCGGAAGAACTAATACTATATTACAAAGATCCTCAGGGTGAGATTCAAGGACCTTTTAGTGGGATTGATATCATTGGATGGTTTGAAGCTGGGTATTTTGGTATAGATTTGCTAGTTCGTGTTGCAAGTGCATCGAAGGACTTGCCATTTTCACTACTTGGTGATGTTATGCCCCATTTACGAGCTAAAGCCAGACCACCACCAGGATTTAATGTGCCAAAACAGAATGAAATCACAGATGCATCGAGTAGAGCAAACTACAGTGGCTTTGATGTGATGAGAAATGAGACAAGGCATAAAGATGGTTCGACTACAGAAGCTGAAAATAGGTTCTTGGAGTCACTGATGGGAGGTAATATGAGCCATTTGCCTCAAGGTAGGTCTTTCTCCCATGAAAAAGTTTAACCTGGTTGTGCACGATGGAATTATTAATCTTTTTGAATTTAAATATAGGGAAAAAAAATCATTCTCACTTATCTGATAGTAATAAGTTATAGTTAATATTAAAAACTGATGGTTATGATTGTTTTGTAGGTTTTCAAGGTTACATTGGAAATAATACCTCCAGTGTTGTTCCCCCATCTGGATTAGATGGTTCAAATGACCCATACCTTGTGGCCAAGAGAATGACACTTGAGCAGCAGAGGTCTTTACCCAGTCATTATCCATACTGGCCAGGGAGAGATGCTACATCTATGGCTTCAAAGTCAGATATGGTCTCTGAATCTCCAACTCCTGCAAAACTCTTATCTTCAGTAACTGATAGTTCTCGCCCTCTTCATTCCCAGAGTAATGAGTTGATGTCCATCCTTCAAGGCTTGTCGGACAGGTCTGGCACTAGCATAAACAATGGTGTTCCTGGTTGGTCAAATTTTTCTGTCCAAGGTGGTGGCTTGGATCCACTTAAGAATAAAATTGAGTTGCATCATGCTCAAAGCTTGCCTCCTCAAGCCCCCTTTGGTATTCAGAAACAGAGGCTGCAAACACAGAACCCAACTTCCTTAATAAATTTATTAGGTCAAACTATGGAGAATCCTGGTGGTATCCCTGCTGGTATCTCCACACCTGAAAAGGTACTTTCATCTGGTTTACCACAAGATCCTCAACTATTAAGTATGTTGCAGCAGCAGTATTTATTGCAGGCACAATCCCAGTCATCTGTTCCAGCACAGCAGCTGCTGTTGTTAGATAAGTTATTGTTGCTTAAGCAGCAACAGAAACAGGAAGAGCAGCAACAGTTACTGCGGCAACAACAGTTGCTCTCTCAGGTTCTGTCAGATCATCATTCTCATCAAGTTTTTGGTGAGCAGTCACTTGCACAGTTACAGGCTGGTATAGCAACAGGGAATGCATCTGTTGACTCTTCTCGGCTTCAACCATCACAGGAGTTGTTTCAGAGTGGTTTGCAGATACCAGTTCCCAAGACCCAAGATGAACGTACCTCAGACTTCCTGAATTTGCCCCCGCAAGTCTTGCAGGATGTAAGTCATGCTGGTGTGTCTGAAGCCTCTGTCTTACATTTGGCACATCAGATGTTTAATCATCCAAACTGGAGTGCTACTCTTCCAGAACAAATAGATGATATCCATCAGAAAGAACCATTGGCAGCCTCAACAGTCACTGAAGGCTTTTCCTTGCTAGAGACCATGAACAAGTCTCTGCGGGAGTCATCTCTGGTGCAGAAACCTCTCCTTGCTTCAGAATGTCATGCTCCTGTTACCCTTGAGAAAGCATCAGAAGACACTTGGAAGACTAATGAACCTGTCAGGGTTGCAACATTGGAGGGTGCTGTGGACTCTGTGCCTTCGGAGGCCCATGAAAAGTCTGTTACTGTACCATCTACTGATACTTGTGAGAATAAACTATCTGTGCCTGAGCATGTCAATGATGTGAAAGCTCCAGTAGATATTGCTCCTGAGGGACTGCAGGTTGAAAGCAAAAGAAGCAATGATGGACCCTCTGTGGTGACAGAATTGAAGAACGTTGAAGTTAATGAGGTCAAGAAAACTTCTGAAAAGAAGTCAAGAAAGCAGAAGTCTAACAAGTCATACTCTTCTGACCAATCAAAGGGAGCATCAAAAACTTTGTCTTTGCAGCAATCTAAGCTATCTGAAACAGAGGGGGCGATTACTGCTGACACAAAGTTCGAAACAAACAATGGTGCCAGAGAAACACAGCATGGACCATCGCTACAAAAGACAAGAGAGAGCAGCCCTGGGTTTGCTCCTGCAGAAAATCCGGATTCTCAAAATGCCAAGGGCTTACTACCTGAAAGGATTTCCAAGGATGATGTTGAAATTGTGGAAACCAAGGATGAATCCAGATTGGTTGGGTCTGTCTCAGTGCAGAACAGCCAATTACATTCTGGGCAAAGAGCTTGGAAACCTGCTCCTGGTTTCAAGCCTAAGTCATTATTGGAAATTCAACAGGAAGAACATAGGAAAGCACAGGCAGAATTGGTGGTGTCTCAAATCACTACTTCTGTCAACTCTATCAATTTGGCATCTCCTTGGGCTGGGGTCGTTGCCAATTCAGACCCAAAAGGTTCTGTGGAAATTCATAAAGATGTAGGCACTACTGTGTTAAATGTGGAGAAACCTGAAATTTCTCCAAATACAAAGAACAAGAAGAGCCAGTTACATGATCTTTTGGCAGAAGAAGTTTTGGCAAAGTCCAGTGAAGGAGTTGTGGATGCTGCTCTTGACAGTAAGTTTGGTTTGCCGGGCTTGCAGGATACTGCAATGCATGGTGAATCTGTAGATGATGGTAGTTTTATCGAGGCCAAAGAAACTAAAAAGAGTCGTAAAAAGTCTGCCAAAGCCAAGGGTGCTGGAGCTAAGGTCTCAGCACCTACTGATGTTCCTGTTGGTACGAGTCCCATTGAGAAAAGTAAGAACACTCGTTATGTACAGGCGGAGAAGGAGGTATTGCCTGCAATACCATCGGGACCATCTTTGGGAGATTTTGTCCTATGGAAGGGGGAGTCTGCTAATCCTTCCTCTGCTCCTGCCTGGTCTTCTGACTCCAAGAAGATCTCTAAACCTACATCATTGCGGGACATCCAAAAAGAGCAGGGGAAGAAGATTTCTTCTTTGCAGTCCCAGAATCAGATACCAACTCCTCAAAAATCCCAGCCAACTCAGGCTGCTGATGGTGGTAATATGTCATGGTCACTTTCTGCGTCTCCATCTAAGGGTGCTTCTCCAATCCAGATAAATTCCCGTTCTGCCTCTCAGTCAAAATATAAAATAGGTTCTGGATCACTGATGGGAGGTAATATGAGCCATTTGCCTCAAGGTAGGTCTTTCTCCATGAAAAAGTTTAACCTGGTTGTGCACGATGGAATTATTAATCTTTGAATTTAAATAGGGAAAAAAAATCATTCTCCTTATCTTTAGTAATAAGTTCTAGTTAATAAAAAACGATGGTTATGATGTTTTTGTAGGTTTTCAAGGTTACATTGGAAATAATACCTCCAGTGTTGTTCCCCCATTGGATTAGATGTTCAAATGACCCATACCTTGTGGCCAAGAGAATGACAGAGCAGCAGAGGTCTTTACCCAGTCATTATCCAACTGGCAGGGAGAGATGCTACATCTATGGCTTCAAAGTCAGATATGGTTCTGAATCTCCAACTCTGCAAAACTCTTATCTTCAGTAACTGATAGTTCTCGCCACTTCATTCCAGAGTAATGAGTTGATGTCCCACCTTAGGGGAATGCTTACTTTTCCGAATTGTTTCATTTAACGGAAATGATATGCTACATGATATTGCTTCAGAGCCTCTCCTTTTTGGCCCTTTATGCAGGAAAGCCATTTCAACCAGTATCCATCTCATGGCAATCGCTCAGACATTGTGAGGTCACCAGGAATTGGAGAAGAGATGAGCGAGACCCAGAAAAAAAAGGATGTTTTCCGGCCGTCCTTGCTTGATATGGAAACTAGTCGCCGTGACCGTTGGCGTGATGAAGAAAGAGACACTCATTCCTCAATTCGCAAAGATCGCTGGAGGGATGGAGATAAAGAGCACGGTGAGGCCCGCAGGATGGATAGATGGACAGAAAATTCTTCCATACGGCACTATGGTGAACTGCGCCGGGCTCCCTCTGAAAGGTGGACTGAGTCAGGTAACAGGGATACCAATTATGATCAACGGCGTGAGAGCAAATGGAACACACGCTGGGGGCCTGATGATAAAGAGACAGATGGTTTACGTGACAGATGGATTGACTCTAGTAAAGATGGTGACATGCCTGTTGATAAAGGATTGTCTCATGCTTCTAGTCATGGAAAGGATGAGAGGGATGGGGATAGTTATCGACCCTGGAGATCTAACTCATTACAAAGTCGAGGAAGGGGAGACCCTGCTCATCACCATTCTCTAACACCTAACAAACAGGTTCCTACATTTTCCTACAGCCGGGGACGTGGGGAAAGCACTCCTCCTATTTTTTCTTCTGGTCGTGGAAAGCTGAATTCCAGTGGGAGCTTTATGAACAGTGTTTCTACCCATTCTCAGCCTCTGGGAATTCTCTCTGACAAGGTTGAAAGTAGCCATGGAGAATATCGTGCATTAAGATATAGTAGAACGAAATTGCTTGATGTGTATAGGGTGACTGATATGAGATCATATCGGAAACTCTTAGAAGGGCTTGCACAGGTGCCTTCTCTCACGCAGGAAGATCCAGTAGAGCCTCTTGCGTTTTGTGCACCGAATCCTGAAGAAATGGTAATTTGTGTGTTTGCAAACTTTTTTTGTAAATAGTATTTGACACTTTCTCCAGTTGTTTTATTTGCTTCACTTTTTGAATAGGTTATATTAAAAGGAATTGACAAAGGGGACATCATAAGTAGTGGCGCACCTCCGGTATCAAAAGATGGAGCTGTTGGGCGGAACTCAGTTGATTTTACTCCATCAAGGCGAACCAAGCATGGTAGCCACTTTTGTGAAAGATACATTACTTTATATTTATGCATTTATTTAGGTAGGAAGTTAATGTGTATTGTAATTGGCTTGTCTGAGCAGACAGTAAAGAAGATTTACCACTTGCTGTTGAAGATTATAAAGATGAAAGTTCTGACAATTCTAAGGGTGGTTATGCAAATTACTCAGATGGTTCATCACAAGACAGGCAGACGCACAATTATGGGTCCAACTCAAAGATGGAAACCGTCCAAGATCGGAAGGCTTACCCTGACAAGTTTAGAGCTGAAGGTACATTGACATAGAAAGCAGATTTTGTATACTATCATCTTATTTGATGCAGGGCAGTCCTGATCATATATCATTTCACCAAGAGATCTGAATTTACTGTTATCAGATTATTTCAGTCGTGCAGCCTGTCTTTAGTGTTTTTTTTTTTTTTTTTTTTTTTTTTTAAAGTAATAGAGAAAAAGATTATATTTTCTATTTGGGTTGTTTGGGCATTAGTTGATGGTGTGTCCTGCCACTTCTGTGTATAGTTTATGATGATATGACAAAAGTGCCTTGCATTTAAAGTTGTGCTTTGCAACGTGGTTTTAATTTGATGCTTTTCTGTGCAGCTTTTAGAGAAGACAGTGGTCCTTTTAGAAAGGCTGATGCCATCCATAGGGAATCGAGTGTTCAGGAGAATAATTCTGTCCATTCTGGTGCTGTATGGAGAGCCTCATCACTGGGTGATCGGTCACATATGGCTTCACATGTTCGAAAGGACATTCCAAGTGATGTTAAGTCAATAACCTCTGACATGGCCTGGTCACAGCCACAGAAGGATACCACTAACCATTGGGATGGTGATTTGGCTAAATGGCAGACCAGTGAAGATTCTGTTCTTAAAAGGCAGGCATCAATAGTTATGGACAGGGAGAAGGAAGCCATGAAACTCTCACAGCCCTCTCCGGAAGAACTAATACTATATTACAAAGATCCTCAGGGTGAGATTCAAGGACCTTTTAGTGGGATTGATATCATTGGATGGTTTGAAGCTGGGTATTTTGGTATAGATTTGCTAGTTCGTGTTGCAAGTGCATCGAAGGACTCGCCATTTTCACTACTTGGTGATGTTATGCCCCATTTACGAGCTAAAGCCAGACCACCACCAGGATTTAATGTGCCAAAACAGAATGAAATCACAGATGCATCGAGTAGAGCAAACTACAGTGGCTTTGATGTGATGAGAAATGAGACAAGGCATAAAGATGGTTCGACTACAGAAGCTGAAAATAGGTTCTTGGAGTCACTGATGGGAGGTAATATGAGCCATTTGCCTCAAGGTAGGTCTTTCTCCCATGAAAAAGTTTAACCTGGTTGTGCACGATGGAATTATTAATCTTTTTGAATTTAAATATAGGGAAAAAAAATCATTCTCACTTATCTGATAGTAATAAGTTATAGTTAATATTAAAAACTGATGGTTATGATTGTTTTGTAGGTTTTCAAGGTTACATTGGAAATAATACCTCCAGTGTTGTTCCCCCATCTGGATTAGATGGTTCAAATGACCCATACCTTGTGGCCAAGAGAATGACACTTGAGCAGCAGAGGTCTTTACCCAGTCATTATCCATACTGGCCAGGGAGAGATGCTACATCTATGGCTTCAAAGTCAGATATGGTCTCTGAATCTCCAACTCCTGCAAAACTCTTATCTTCAGTAACTGATAGTTCTCGCCCACTTCATTCCCAGAGTAATGAGTTGATGTCCATCCTTCAAGGCTTGTCGGACAGGTCTGGCACTAGCATAAACAATGGTGTTCCTGGTTGGTCAAATTTTTCTGTCCAAGGTGGTGGCTTGGATCCACTTAAGAATAAAATTGAGTTGCATCATGCTCAAAGCTTGCCTCCTCAAGCCCCCTTTGGTATTCAGAAACAGAGGCTGCAAACACAGAACCCAACTTCCTTAATAAATTTATTAGGTCAAACTATGGAGAATCCTGGTGGTATCCCTGCTGGTATCTCCACACCTGAAAAGGTACTTTCATCTGGTTTACCACAAGATCCTCAACTATTAAGTATGTTGCAGCAGCAGTATTTATTGCAGGCACAATCCCAGTCATCTGTTCCAGCACAGCAGCTGCTGTTGTTAGATAAGTTATTGTTGCTTAAGCAGCAACAGAAACAGGAAGAGCAGCAACAGTTACTGCGGCAACAACAGTTGCTCTCTCAGGTTCTGTCAGATCATCATTCTCATCAAGTTTTTGGTGAGCAGTCACTTGCACAGTTACAGGCTGGTATAGCAACAGGGAATGCATCTGTTGACTCTTCTCGGCTTCAACCATCACAGGAGTTGTTTCAGAGTGGTTTGCAGATACCAGTTCCTAAGACCCAAGATGAACGTACCTCAGACTTCCTGAATTTGCCCCCGCAAGTCTTGCAGGATGTAAGTCATGCTGGTGTGTCTGAAGCCTCTGTCTTACATTTGGCACATCAGATGCTTAATCATCCAAACTGGGGTGCTACTCTTCCAGAACAAATAGATGATATCCATCAGAAAGAACCATTGGCAGCCTCAACAGTCACTGAAGGCTTTTCCTTGCTAGAGACCATGAACAAGTCTCTGCAGGAGTCATCTCTGGTGCAGAAACCTCTCCTTGCTTCAGAATGTCATGCTCCTGTTACCCTTGAGAAGGCATCAGAAGACACTTGGAAGACTAATGAACATGTCAGGGTTGCAACATTGGAGGGTGCTGTGGACTCTGTGCCTTCGGAGGCCCATGAAATGTCTGTTACTGTACCATCTACCGATACTTGTGAGAATAAACTATCTGTGCCTGAGCTTGTCAATGATGTGACAGCTCCAGTAGATATTGCTCCTGAGGGACTGCAGGTTGAAAGCAAAAGAAGCAATGATGGACCCTCTGTGGTGACAGAATCGAAGAATGTTGAAGTTAATGAGGTCAAGAAAACTTCTGAAAAGAGGTCGAGAAAGCAGAAGTCTAACAAGTCACACTCTTCTGACCAATCAAAGGGAGCATCAAAAACTTTGTCTTTGCAGCAATCTAAGCTATCTGAAACAGAGGGAGCGACTACTGCTGACACAAAGTTTGAAACAAACAATGGTGCCAGAGAAACACAGCATGGACCATCTCTACAAAAGACAAGAGAGAGCAGCCCTGGGTTTGCTTCTGCAGAAAATCCGGATTCTCAAAATGCCAAGGGCTTACTACCTGAAAGGATTTCCAAGGATGATGTTGAAATCGTGGAAACCAAGGATGAATCCAGATTGGTTGGGTCTGTCTCAGTGCAGAACAGCCAATTACATTCTGGGCAAAGAGCTTGGAAACCTGCTCCTGGTTTCAAGCCTAAGTCATTATTGGAAATTCAACAGGAAGAACATAGGAAAGCACAGGCAGAATTGGTGGTGTCTCAAATCACTACTTCTGTCAACTCTATCAATTTGGCATCTCCTTGGGCTGGGGTCGTTGCCAATTCAGACCCAAAAGGTTCTGTGGAAATTCATAAAGATGTAGGCACTACTGTGTTAAATGTGGAGAAACCTGAAATTTCTCCAAATACAAAGAACAAGAAGAGCCAGTTACATGATCTTTTGGCAGAAGAAGTTTTGGCAAAGTCCAGTGAAGGAGTTGTGGATGCTGCTCTTGACAGTAAGTTTGGTTTGCCGGGCTTGCAGGATACTGCAATGCATGGTGAATCTGTAGATGATGGTAGTTTTATCGAGGCCAAAGAAACTAAAAAGAGTCGTAAAAAGTCTGCCAAAGCCAAGGGTGCTGGAGCTAAGGTCTCAGCACCTACTGATGTTCCTGTTGGTACGAGTCCCATTGAGAAAAGTAAGAACACTCGTTATGTACAGGCGGAGAAGGAGGTATTGCCTGCAATACCATCGGGACCATCTTTGGGAGATTTTGTCCTATGGAAGGGGGAGTCTGCTAATCCTTCCTCTGCTCCTGCCTGGTCTTCTGACTCCAAGAAGATCTCTAAACCTACATCATTGCGGGACATCCAAAAAGAGCAGAGGAAGAAGATTTCTTCTTTGCAGTCCCAGAATCAGATACCAACTCCTCAAAAATCCCAGCCAACTCAGGCTGCTGATGGTAGTAATATGTCATGGTCACTTTCTGCGTCTCCATCTAAGGGTGCTTCTCCAATCCAGATAAATTCCCGTTCTGCCTCTCAGTCAAAATATAAAGGAGATGACGATCTATTCTGGGGCCCAATTGATCAATCAAAGAAAGAAACTAAACAGTATGATTATTATCTTCCCTTTTTTTTTTTTTTTTTTTGTTTGCCTGACTGTAGATTCCACCTAACCAGATTGAATTGATGCTTTCTGTAATTTGATCCATAGATCTTTTACCGCTTGTCCCATTGCAATAGATCTACCTAGTTAAGCTGTTCCTTTGGGAATAAAACTAATAATATTTACTGAGGTTTTACACTATCCAAAGTATGGTCATATAATTGTTTTAACATGAATAATGACTAATGCTTGTTTTGATTTAATTTCTTACTCTGAGAATGACAGTATAATAATTGACATTGATTGATCAATTGTAATTACTGGTTTTGATTGTTTTAATTTTTGATTTTAAAAAAAAAAAAAAAAAGAGCACCTAGATAACAGTATAAGATGAAACTAATTGTTTTCCTCTTCTTGTAAACAGGGTAGATTTTCCTCAGCTATCAAATCAGGGCAGTTGGGGGACCAAAAACACTCCTGTAAAATCAGCTCCAGGCGGGTCCTTGAACCGACAAATATCTATGGGTGGCAGAACTGCTGAGCGCACTCTTTCATCTTCACCTGCTTCTGCTCAGTCTTCCCATAAAGGGAGAAAAGATAGCATGGCCAAGTATTCAGGTAAATGTATTGTAAACTTGAGGATCTTTTTCATTAATCAAAGATAGGAATTAACGTTTCCTGTTCTTTTAATACTTTGCAGAGGCCACAGACTTCAGAGATTGGTGTGAGAGTGAGTGTGTTAGGCTTATTGGGACAAAAGGTATCATGTTTCTTCTTTCTGGTTTGTGTCTTAAATTTAATTGTTAGTGGTATTAGTATCAAGTTGTGGTGTAGGCAGCAAAATAGGAGGGATTACGTTGTGTTTTGTGGTAGCTGTAGATGATCATTTTTATTTTTCCTGACATTTTCATCCTAAACTAACTACCAGTATAAATATCTTTGAAGGACCAGAAGGCTGACTATGACTAAAATGGAGGGTTTTCTTAGGTGTTTTGTTTCAGCACCTTGAAAATAGTGCATATTTGTTCCTTCAGCTGTTTGAAAATAGTTTAAAGTTTTAAAGCTGTTTAAGAATCTAAAAATAGTTGGTGCATGAGTTTTAGATGTTTCAATTGTCCAGTGGCCTACGGTGTGTTTTTTTGTTTTTTGGTGTGTTCTAATGAATGTCATTTCTTTTTCTTGCTAGACACAAATTTCTTGGAATTTTGTTTGAAGCAGTCCAGATCAGAAGCTGAGATGCTTCTGATAGAGAACCTTGGATCATTTGATCCGGATCATGAGTTTATTGACAAGTTTCTTAACTACAAGGAGTTATTACCTGCTGATGTACTTGAAATTGCCTTTCAAAGTCGGAATGATCGGAAGGTCACTGGGTTTGGTGCCGGAGATATGAGTTCTGACAATGCTGGTGTTGGAGACTATGACCGTGATGATACGGTTGGCCCTGATGGGTCATCAAAGGGAGGAGGCAAGAAAAAAGGGAAGAAAGGAAAGAAGGTTAGTCCGGCAGTTTTGGGATTCAGTGTTGTCAGTAACCGTATCATGATGGGGGAGATTCAGTCGGTGGAGGAGTAGTAGGAGATGTAAATACATTTGGCTTAACTGTTTTGTAAATGTTTTTTCAATTTAGCTTTTTTTTTTTTTGGGTTATAGAGCGACAGCTGCAGTACTAAATCAATCTGCTCAAGCGATTTTGTTAAGTTATATTCTCGCGGTAGAGTTCTTTGTTATTTTTGGTCATAGAACAATCATGCGAGTTTTTTTTTTCACCATCAAATTAACAAAACTTTTATTGATTTCTATCCTACTTAGCATTTTCTATTTCTAGTTCGCTGTTTAATATTCTTAAATCAATATCACCATGAGGGTACGGCTAAGGTAAATCTGCTGAAGTTGCGGTTCTCGTATGCACCTATAATAATTTCATTCAACTTTGTCATTTTATGACATTTTTTATCCAATGAAGAGTTGTTGGTTATGACTTACGATTATAAAATCCCCTATTTGTCATTCATATATTCAGGATGGCTGACTTTGAGCTGCTGACATGCCCATTTTCCCCCTTATTATGTGGACGGTGAATCATCAATAAATCACGGGGAGTTGACTAATTAGAAATCACTATGACCATTGACCGGAACTCAAGTTTTCATCAGACTTCTCATAATCGTCTCCTGTCACCTCTTATAATATGTTTTTTTTTTCCTTTTTAAACTTTTCTCAGAATGTATACAACTGAAGTGAAGTTTGTGCGGCAAAAGCAGATCATATAAGATAAACGTAGCCATGAAGATCATTATTCATTACAATTGTCAGACATTCTTGTAAATTCTTATTAAAAGGTAATGTGATATTCATACATTACAAGCAACGCTCTGGGCTAAGATTAAGATACAACAGATTAATTGACCAGAACCTCAGTTTCAGCCAAGAAGGTTGCAATTGTGAATATAATTAACCTAATTAGATTGCATAAAATTGACGGCTTTGCCATCTTCATGTTGAAATCAGAGGTTTCCACACTTCGTATTTCTAGCTACTCTTGGCTTTCATCAGCTACCTTCCCATCATTTCCTGTTTGTCTGAAACTCTGTATACCATAAATCAATGAAAATTTAATCAACGCACATTTGATGCTCACTCAAATAACACTGAAAGGCCATATGATTACCAATATGTTAATCTGAAGAATGGGTGCGTTCTGTAATCACCTCTTCTTTTACCTTTGATACGAATTTCAAACATTTTACAAATTTAATCCAGTATTATCTGTTTCACCGTGGAAATAACTATTAAGATTTTATCTTATTTGGTACTCCCAAGCTACATAAATTAAAATTATTTAATCAGGAAAAATTTATTCACTGGGTCAAATACTCAAATTGATGGTTTATTAAACTTGAGAAGTATTAGAAATCATTTGCCTGGATAAAGAAGCAATTTACAAATTCTATTTCTACTTGTGGACTTTAGGAAAGAAGAACAAAAATAAGAAGCACGAAGGAGACCACTACTAACCGTGGATTCAAGACTGGAAGTGGGTCAAGATTGAGGGAACGCAAGGACATCTTGGCAATCTCCGAAACGGCAAAGTCTCGGACACCCGGAACATCACTTGTCAAGTACTCGTAAGCAGCTTCAAAGGCCTCTGACCAAAAACGAGGCAAACGAACATTAGTGCCATGCGTGTACACATCCCACATTCGCCTCACCATCTTCTTTCTCTCCTCTACTTCCTATTAACATTTAGACAACCACAACAACAACCAAAAAAACAAAAAAAAAAAAAACCCATCAAAGAAAATGAATTATTAGCAAATAGCAAGATCACAGAAAGAGATATTGCATACGAGGATGTCAAGATCGCGGTGGATAGAGAAGTCGACGTCATCAGAGAATCTGGTAAGGTTACCGGAGGACCATTTGAGAGAAACAGAGCCGGTGAACATAGACCAGAAGGCGAGGAGGAGGATAGCAGATAAAACCCAGAACTTGTAACCACTAATACCAAACAAAGAAGCAGATAAGGGCCTATCTTTCTTCGATAAACTTGTTGTAGAAGTAGAAGTAGAAGAAGCTGGCGGTGAAGAATCGTTCTTCATTTGGGTTAGGTTAATCCTTTAATCAATAGAAATTTGTTTAGGAAAAGGTGGGAGTAGATTGAGGTATCAGGTATTGAATGGAGCTTGGAGTGTAGCATTGAGAGAAGAGAATTATTTGAGTAGTTGGTGATCTGTCTATTATGTTCACATTGAGAATGACGGGCCTCGTTATCTTTCAACCACCGACTGGGCTCTCTACGTATTTCGTATACTAAAGTAGTAAATGTAAATCACAATAAACATACATTCCTTATTTGTAATCTTAATTCATAAAAGATGTCTTTTAATTTGGAATGCCAACAATTATTTATATCAATTTCTCACTGGAGGAATTTTTGGTGGTACAGATCGCAGCTTCATGACATCGGCTCGGCATCATAGTAAAAGACCTACTTAATTTTCATAGGCCAAACGATTTGTGCATATCTAAAGTTTTCCGTAATGATAAAGTGGTACCTAAAATATTTAGAAACGATAAACAGGTACCTTCCGTCATAATCTGTTAGTGATTTCTGTTTGTTAATAGTGAAAAGACTAAAATACCCTTAAAAGTTTGATATTTTAGTTTTTTATAAAATTAAAATTTTCTAAAAAACCCTTAGGTTTGCTAATTTAATTAAACACCTCATATATAAAAAGTTTGTTAAATGACAAAAACACCCCCACCACCTGTAGTGCCAGATTTCGGCCACCACCACCAGAATCTGGACTGAAATTGTGTTACGACACAGACCCGTCGGATCTATGTCGTAACGCGTCGATCTGGCCTTTTCCGGTCAGATCCGTGGCTGATCTGACCGAAAAAGGCCAGATCTATGACCAGATCTGGCCGTCAACGCCGTAGATGGAGTTTTGCGGCCTCGACGGCCAGATCAGCCACGAATATGGCCGGAAAAGGCCAGATCTGGTCGTCAAGGCCTTAAAACTCCATCTGCTGTATTAACGGCTAGATCTGGACGAAAAAGGCCAGATTAACACAATTTCCCGACCAGATTCTGGCAGTGGTGGCCAGAATCTGGCATTGCGGGTGGTGGGGGTGTTTTTGTCATTTAACAAACTTTTTATATATAGGGGTGTTTAGTTAAATTAGAAAAACTTAGAGGGTTTTTTAGAAATTTTTAAATTTATAAAAAACTAAAATATCAAACTTTCAAGGGCACTTTAGTATTTTCACTATTAACAAACAGAAATCACTAACAGATCATGACGGAAGGTACGTGTTTGTCATTTCTAAACCTTTTAAGTACCACTTTGTTATTACGATAAACTTTAGATATGCGCAAGTCGTTCGGCCATTTTCATATAGAATATTTTAAAAGATTTCCAGTTACATATATGGCAGAACTGCCTTAGTCAACAGCTAAATTAGGCAGACAAGAACTCAAAGAAGGGTGGATATGTTACCAACCTCCATCAGATTGGTACCTTAACTAAAAAAATATCGCACTGTTAACTGAAACTTACTATGTTATTAACAACAGATTAGGTAAACACAATTTAGGTAAATTTGACATTTGTTCTTTTTTTGATGAAATCCGTTACAATTTGTCAACAAAGCACTATGACAAGTCAAAACCAACTTTTTTTTTTGTGTTTTTTTTATGATCAAATATCCGAACAGCTTATTAACTAATCCCCAAGGTCGTTAAACATCTTACAAACCTAATGTTCTAAGATATACTACAAATGTGATAGATAATCTCAAAATTAGAACAAAAAAAGTATAAAAATACAAACTTTCTTAACTGTCATGCCAACCCCTTAGGGTCTGCTTGGGAGTTTTTTTCACTGGTTTTGAGATGTTCTAAAACCATTATTTGTCATATTTTTTATGCCAAAGTATAATGTATTTTTAAGGGGTTTATAAAACACCCAAAATCAGGGTGTTTTAGTTGGTTTTAAAATTTTTATTTCACAAATATCTTATCTACTATAGAACTATCCCAATTATATCAAAAAAAAAAAAATTGAACATATTATGCACGTCTCCAATCATATTAAATATAAAATAATTTTAAGTAATTATTAAAATCTCATTTCTAGATGTTTTCTTGGAGAAGTAGAGCTATAATTTTTCAATCATTCTAGATATTACAAAGATATAAAATACTAATAAGTAGAAAACAAATAAAAAACTTTTTACCTTGTAATTGAAAAAACAAAAATTTCAAACACAAGTTAAGTGTTTTAAAAATCGCTACTAAAAACCTCTCAAAACCGATACGATGGTTTACCTTTCTAACCATTACTATGAAACTCCCAAGTGAACCCTCAAGGTTTAATATAATAAACTTCAACACATTTAACTCATTCACCCAATAACAGCGAAACTACAGTTATTAACAAGAGGAAAAACTTTAATTTGTAATTGCATGTATATTACATTCTGAACTTTCAAGTACAAACTGTCAAGCTCAATATCTGATACATTCCAACAAGTCACCCATCTAGTTTCAGAGGCCCAAAGATTAATCTTGAAGAACCAAATACCACAGTCCACAGATGCCCAAAGCTCCCTTCGTTCGCAGAATTCCGAATTTAAGAAAATTTCAACTGTCCTTTCAACTCTTCTTACAACATTTGACCATGATTTTATATGGCATCAAAAATTTGATGCTCCTAGTCTCTTACCCATTTACGGTAATGCCAGGACGAAAGAATTTTATGAAGTATACAAGAAACAAATCAATACAAAACCTAATTTTAAGATGTAATCATCAAACATTATTTTACCATCCAATCAGTGATGTGGATACATTAATGACAGACCTTGAAATAAGTTTAGTTTAGTCATACCCAATCTAAACTTAATTATTTTAGTTTCTGATAACAAATAAAGACAGATTATTTGAAACTTCTTTTACAAACAAACGATTATCTTGTTCTTAATTAGAGAAAAACAAAGGATATCCTGTTCTAAATTAGAAATTAGAGAAATACTACCTAGATAACGTATTCTCACAAACTTCTTATTCTCACAAACTTCTTTTACAATTTCAATATGATACTTAGTTAACACTATTGCATCAACTTTCTGTTACATCGAAAGTACAAAATGATTTTAATTGGATCAAAAAGACATCTTCCTCACTAAAAGAATAGAACAACATTGTTTTTTAATAAACAATCATTTCTTATGATCATAAAAAATGATTGTTCACTCAAAGAACAACATTGTTCCTTAAAATCATTCCTTTTCGTTCCTTACGGAGGAAGGATAGTTCTTTATAAAAGAACTATAAAAAAACGATTGTCATTCACTTCTAGTAGTGCCTTAGCGTGTTGAGAAGTAATGTGATTAACAGATTTCTACTATCTCGTTAAAGTTTCAAGGGAAAGTCATGAAATTGGGTTATAAAAATAGCATTTTTCATAAAATTACTCAAAATTCAAACACCAGCCAGGGCTATAAACTGGCAGATAGTTCTTTAAGCTTTAAAGTAGATGAAATCACACAATGTTAGAGCATTAAAAGAATACCAAGTCTCCCTCCCTTTCTTCCGCACAGAAATAAATAGCAAACTACTCTTGGAAAAAAAGCTGGGTGCCAACTTCTCAAATGCTCAACTGAACATAAAACCCTCAACACAATCAAGATTGCTCAGCTGAACATAAGACCTCGACTCAATCAAAAGAAAACAAGAGAATACAACCTAAGCCCTTAACAAATGTCAACAGGCAAATGTTCAGTAAAGCAATTACAGATTTACAGCTTCAGCCCTCTTACCTCATATTGACCAAAAAAAGTTTAAAAAGAAAACATAAATTAATCACTCAGAAGGTGCTAGCATTCATTAAAACGCTTCATATTTCCAACATAGTATAGTAAAGCAACTTCATCATAGCACACAATAAAAGAAAAAAAAAATTGTTGAAAAATCGATAACTACAATTATGTAGTAAACATCAGACTCAGGAGCTTCCACAATGTGGAAATTGCAGACATTCAACACGGCATCAGTGTCAGACCGCCCGTCTGCTTGTTTCTCATCATTGACCAACAACAAACTATGACCTTATAATTAGATCATCAAGTCATCCACCAGAACAGAAAACAAGTCAAATTATAAGAAGGCATCAATAATTAAGAGAGTTGTTGTCTTCACACTAATTCAGTTGTAGTATAATGATTTTTTGTTTATTCACATCATTCGCCTTCCACTCTTATAAAGATACTAATACCAAAATTACTTTTTCTTCTAAGACTAACACAACGTAAGAATAAAAACCGGATAAAATGGCATCAGATAATAAGCGAGTTGTATGTCTACACGGTTCATCAGTTCATATGAAAAGTCTTCATCACTTGCCATATTTCAGAAGAAAAATAACTACAATTATATGCCCAAAAAAAAAAAAAAAAAATTGAAATAAAATGGATATCGGTATGTCCATTGGACACCAAAGCAACTAAGAAATATGCAATGAGCTGGTAAGCCACCTTTGAGTTTCTGCATCAGTTTTATCTCTTTAGCGTTGAATTTTGCCTAACAGGAGAGGGTAAACAGATGCAAAACAAAAAAAAAAAAAAAAAAAAACAAATCATCTTTCTCCTTTGCTATATTCAAATCAGTAAAATTTGATCTGTGAACAATTACAAACAACAACAAAAGAAGAGTAAGAAAAAAGAGATCAAAACATAAGTTGAGAACCCCAAAGGCGACAAATTGAGAGGTAGACGAGTGCTCTGGTGGCTATTAAATAGAGTTTTATGAACTAGGTTTTAGATGCTCCAAAATGAATGTTGTCAATGTTTAACCATGGGCCTTAAAGCCCATTAAAAATAAATTGGGCCCAGAAAAAGGACTGACTGACAACGTGTGTCAGCTATGAATGTAGTGAACAGAGAATTGAGCACACATCACATTTCATCAATAATGCCTCCTTACTTTGTTTAACGTTATTACTTATTACACACAATCATTTGGCTTGCCGGATGACAACCCTAAGTTATTCAGGTCTTATGTTCGATCCTGATACTTAATTGAGTATACATAAGTTAATCTGAACACTTTTAATAAATACGTTTTACACGTTAATTTTTAATATCTTAGGTCTTGTTTTAATAAATAGAATAAATGTTCTGCATGTTTGGTTTATTTTTTATCCCTATTCGAATCCTATTCCCCAATAATGTTTGGTACAATATTCTAAAAATATTACCCCATTTTTTTAATTACATTTAACCCCATAAGTTATAATTTCACTAAAACCCCCTGAAAAAAAGTTTAAAAATTAACAAAAACACCCCATCAATCCACTTGTCAATTCCGGCAACCACCGTCGTTGATAGCCGGAATCTGTACAACGCCTAACTTCCGACCAGAATGGCCGGAAGTTCACCGCTGTGGCCTTTTCCGGCCAGATCCCACCACGGATCTAGCCGGAAAAGGCCAGATCTGGCCGTCACGCCGGCCAAAAATGGCCGTCGTTGACCGAAACGACGGCCACATCTTTGGCCGTCGCTGACGGCCAAAGATGGCCCTCGTTTGGCCTTTTTTCGGCGTGCGACGGCCATACAAACCGTAGCGGCCTTTTCCGGCCAGATCCACCATGGATCTGGCCGGAAAAGGCCATAACGACGTGTTTAGTGGCACAGATCCGACTATTCTGTGCCGTAACGAAATTTTCCGGCCAGATTTCGACGGTGGTGGCCGGAATCTGACATTGCAGATGGTGGGGGTGTTTTTGTCATTTTATATGTTAGGGTCTTTAGTTAAATTAGTAAACCTAAGGGCTTTTTTACAAATTTTTAAAATTTACCTCGTAATACTCCCATATCCAATACCTAATACTATCCCTAAAATCCTATCCAAAATACTAAACCAAACGCACCAACCTATTGTTTTATTCAAGTAAAGGAATCTTAGGCTGCAAACCAAAAGTTATGAGAATTTCCGTGCAATTTTGAAGAGTTCAGTTCTTAAACAATTAAATTTTTTTTTATAAGAAAATAATACCACATATTCATATATATCGTTTAAGAGATTAATCATATAACATTTAACAACAAACAGAGAAAATAACTAAAGATTTTTTCTGGACAAATGAATAAATGAGTCTTGATCTTCCTCACAAGAAACTTTTTGGTCCAATGTGAACCTAAAACAATTTCATAGTTCCTATATATACACACATTAATCTTTGTTTGCAATTATTATTTTTTTAACAAAAATTAGGAAAGAAGAAATCTAGGTGACTGAATGCTCTGTAGCGTCTTGTCCTTTTTTGACTTCAGCAGGCAGAAAGGTTTCGTAGGTTAATCCACAATGTTGAAATCAATACTTCAATCCGCCAAGTCTCTTCAATCTTCCTCTTATGATTATGTGCCCCTCCATACCTGTAAGTGTGGTAACAGTCTTTCCCGTATGTGCTATATTGAGGGAATCAACATATCTATAATCATCAATGGTAGATGCCATGCTCGTCTCCCAAACAACATTATCATTTCCTTTGACGGTCTTCATTCTCACTAATTTGTATCCTCGAATTTAATCAGCAGTCCAGTTCTTGGCTGAAGTAACCCCATACAGTGTGATGGACGATTTAGTGTTAGCTGAATTTTGCGCTTTCAAACGTGAGGAGCAGACTCCAGTTTCAGTACGAAACAAGCTTCATTATCGATCGTCTCCCTCCAATGCATACCCGCATCTAAGAATAAGTTAGCCGTGCACCTGGGGTCCAATCCCTGAATATAAATAACATGGTAATTAGTTAATTGAATGTTATTAACGCAACGAACTATAATCGTGGAAAACGCATCACTGATAACTGTAACATGAATTCTATGCCTATTCAATTCATTAGTTTATAAATTGACAAAAGAAAGTATATAATAAGTATTTGACCTGAAAGAAGCGGCGTAGGGGTCGAGCGGGGCCCCGATGAGCGTGATTGGGTTGAGAAGAGGATTGATTCCATGCAACCTTGCCATTACTACCTGCACTTACCTAAAACCAGCAACAACAAGTTCGAGGCACCACAGGTCGGGGTTTTTTTGGCCATAGCACAAATCCACCGGCCACAAATTGCCTCTTGCGTGCACGCTGTCATCACCCGTGTTGCATTTCTGATCCCTGCATCTTCACCTGCCCCACAGCATACTTGCTACTCACCGTGTTATAGCCGCCTGTCCTCCTGTTGCCGCAACATATTGTTGTACAATAATTTTGCCGTTGAAGCTTCCTGTTTGTTATCAACAAATTAAAACAATAGATTGCGGTGTGGTTTTAGTTGGAAAAAGTATTTTATTTGATTTTTTAACTCTTGAGAGGAAGATAAATAAGGGAACTACACAGCTAGAATCTTTAATGGGGGCGGCTGAAGGGCTATCCAATTGAACCTGAAAAGAGATGAGAGAAGCCAACAGAGTTTGAGCAATGCCATAAACTCATTGTTTGATTTGGCCTGGAGGTATGACGACCATCAGAATAATGGATTGGAGCTTTCATCAATTGACTAATTAGACAACGTAAGCGCGGTGCTGCCCATTTTGATAAACATTTCTTAGGAATAGCACCTCCAGGACTGTATCGAGTCCATCTTCCTTATCATAATTGACAAAGCGTCCTCATATATTGAAAACAAACGAACAAATTTTATTATAAAAAGAATTAAGAAAGAGAAAGAGGATTCCCAGAGAGAAAGTGGAACCTTCTCTTTCTGTGAAGTGGTGGTGATTTTGTTTTTGGTGGAAATACTGCATTGGCAATGAGACGGAAGGTTGATGATTTGTCTCTAAAGGTCTCCTTACGCGTAGGTTTAGGTGGAGGTGCGTGAGGTACGATTTTAGCGGTATAATTTTATCAGTTTAATTTTAGGACACAGCCTAAACTATGCAGTAGCCACCAGGGCCCTTGGATATCCTCTATTTTTACTTTGTAACCATGTGGGATGACATGTCATATATTGAGGGTCTCTATCATAGGATATCTATTTGTTTTGAATTAGATTGTGAGTTTGCTTTCGTGGATGTGGCAACCCACAATTGGGATTAAATACATTGAAGTAATATCTAGTTTTTCAGTGCTTGACTTTCTGGACTTTGGATTGACCACCACCAACATCCATCAAGATCTTATTCTTCTTTTGTAATTATATTTATCTTGATCCACCCGATCTAGCCGGCCACAATTTCTATTTCATCAAAGAAAAATGTGTTTTCTTATAAATGACCCAATATGTTATTGTCCGCTTTGCCACAGGGGTTGTATTTTTGTTTTTGGCTTTGGGCCCAAAACATGTATGTTGGGTTAAAACCTATAGTCTCATATATACACGCACTCTCTTTCACAAAACGATATAGGACTTCACAATACACCTTTTATCGTGATTGTGCTGATAACATGTTAAAATGGTCCACATAATATTGTCTGTTTTTGCGCTACAAGTCGCCATAGTTTTGTTTTTTAGCTTTTAGGCCAAAACGTGTCATATTGGGTTAGCCTATGACCCCGTATATCATGCCCCTCTCACAATGAGGGCTTCACACAGTTTCTGAGTTAATTCGCAGTGGAATAGTTTCGGGTTCCTAATGGCACAATTGATGTGAAACAACTGTACTTTCTATTCTCTGGACTAATCAGGAACCCAAAAGCGAGATATATCTAAACAACCTAGATCAAGTAGAATGAGGCTGGTTTAGGCCAGTTGAACCCCAAACTTTTCAACTTTCCGAGGCCATTTACCCAAATTCCGCTAGGATGGTGCGTCGGTGAGACTGAAGAAGTCAAATTGTTGTGCTTATTCTTGCAGAATTTAATGTTTTGTTTCTAAGTGATTGTTTTTCTTGTCTACCATGATGCTGCGACACATATGGACTGCCGCGTCCTGATCTGACCTGAGTTTTGTCTTCTTTTTCACATGAGAGATTGATTGAAAACGAGATACGAATTTTAAGATTTATTGTAAAAATTGAAAATGTTTTTCAGCAGCTGTGAACGCGCCCGGAATTGGTCAATGCACGCCTGGAGACACCCTTTCCGTTTCACTGACGGCATTTCCGGGTTTTTTTTTTTTTTTTCTTTCATAATTTATCCAAGTTTTTGATTAGGTCTTATATTATAATAAGGAAGTCAAATTTTCAAGGTTTGTCATGTTTCATAACTATGATCCAATTGACACACGAATTGTTGATTCGTTATATACAGAGTGAGGTTAGATTTTGTGTTCCTTCATACTGTTTATGGTCCCTTGGAGTTCCATTGAAGAATTTCCAAGTTTAAGATGGGTATATATAGCATTTCAAAATTTATGATCATATATAATCCTTATAGATCTAAATTAAATTTGTAAATTCAAATAAAACCAATTGA